CCAATATCACAGGCCATTGAAATGAAAAGGCAGCATGAGAGACAGAACGGGGAGAACAAAAGGGATAATCCATTTGGAAAGTTGTTTCTCCCCCGACCTGAGGACTCCAAGATACGTAAATATTATAAATAGAATGGAAACATCCCCCTGAAAATCCACAGGCCATTGAAATGAAAAGGCAGCATGAGAGACAGAACGGGGAGAACAAAAGGGATAATCCATTTGGAAAGTTGTTTCTCCCCCGACCTGAGGACTCCAAGATACGTAAATATTATAAATAGAATGGAAACATCCCCCTGAAAATCCTTCAGAGTCAGAGGTGGAAAGGTAGGGCAGAGCAAAAACGTAAGCAAGGGAGGTTGTACCAAAGACACCTGTTGTGAGAGAAATCAGCCAAGGGGAATTTGATCAGTGAGTCAGGGGAAACAAGCCAGCCCATGGCGCATGGGATACATGGCACCCTGGGGGCTGTGCTGGTCACGATGCCTTGGCGAGGTGGGAGAACTGGAGCTGGAGGCTAAATTCCCCCTCCCCCGCCCCGCCAGCCTCCGAAGCCTCCACCTTGGGTTGGGAGCTTGACGAGCGGGGGTTGGGTTGTGGACACTAGATGGCGGGGTGGCTGGCAAGAAGGAGGGTCCCGGAGGTTGGGAAGTGACCTGTTTGAGGGAGAACCACTCCTGGACGGGTCACGATGTGACCACTGGTGCAGAACGGCTCCTCAGTGAAGAGCCAGGGAGCACTAAGCCTGGGAGACCCCACCAGACAAGGTGACCGTGGGGAATGGCTGCTTGGCACCCACGACTTAGGGACACGAATAGGTGCACTCACCAGCACAGAGAATCGAGGCGCTGTTACTCCCCAGTCCCTGGTCTTGTCTAATGATGCCCCTTCTCGTGTCTGGCTCTGCTCCTCTGCTCTACAGCACCAGTGACTTGCACTTCATTTGCTTTGCAGTTCATCTCCAGACCTCCCGGGCACTCATGGTGGTTTCCACCCTCATGGGCTTTGTGGGGGTCATTGTCAGCGTGGTGGGGATGAAATGTACGAAAGTGGCGGACGAGAACCCTGTTGTCAAGAGCCGGATTGCTGTGGCTGGCGGCATCTTCTTCATCCTCGCAGGTAAGTCAAAGTCTGGGGCTCCCTGTACCCACAAACTTCCACCATCCGAGGATCGTCTGAACTGGTCTGCGTGATGTGGGGGAGCACAAACATGGGGCAGCGGCTCCGATGACTTCTCCACAGCTTCTGAATGGGCAAGTAGCCTCAAACCCAGTGTGAGTCATGTCTCTCAGGAGAGAGAGGGTGTGATTTCCTCCAGGGACTTAATAAACTAGACTCATCTCAGCCTCTGTGAGGATCATGGAGGGGAACCTTAAGGAATCCATTTTGAAGCACTTGGAAGAGGGGAAGGTGATCAGGAACAGTCCTCGTGGATTCACCAAGGGCAAGTCATTCCTGACTAACCTGACCAGCTTCTATGATGAGTTAACTGGCTCTGTGGACATGGGGAAGGTGGTGGATGCGCTATACCTTGACTTTAGCAAGGCTTTTGATACGGTTTCCCGCAGGATTCTTGTCAGCAAGTGAAGGAAGTCTGGGTTGGATACATGGACTGTCAGGTGGATAGAAAGCTGGCTAGACTGTCGGGCCCAACGGGTAGTGAGCAACGGCTCGATGTCAGGTTGGCGGTCAGTATCAAGCAGAGTGACCCAAGATTCCGTTCTGGGGCTGCTTTTGTTCCACATCTTTATTAATGACGTGGGGCTGGATTACATCCTCAGCAAGTTTGCGGATGACACTGAGCTAGGGGGAGAGGTAGATATGCTGGACGGCAGGGATTGGGTCCAGAGTGACCTACACAAATTGGAGGATTGGGCCAAAACAATCGGATGTGGTTCAACAAGTCCTGCACTTAGGATGGAAGAATCCCAAGTATTGTTACAGGCTGGGGCCCGACTGGTTACGTAGCAGTACAGAAGAAAAGGACCTGTTGATTACAGAGGATGAGAAGCTAGATATGAGTCACCAGTGTGCTCTTGTAGCCAAGAAGTCTGACAGCATACTGGGGTCCATTAGGAGGAACATTTCCAGCAGATCAGGGAAATGATTATTCCCCTATATTTGGCACTGGTGAGTCCACAGCTGGAGTGTTGCGTCCAATTACAGAAAAGATGTGGACACATTGGAGAGGGTCCAGCGGAGGGCAATCAAAATGATTAGGCGGCTGGAGCACATGACCGACGAGGAGAGGCTGAGGGATTTGGACTTATTTAGTCTGCAGAAGAGCAGAGTGAGGGGGGATTTGATAGCAGCCTGCAACTTCCTGAAGGGAGGTTCCAAAGAGACTGGAGAGAGGCTGTTCTCAGTGGTGGCAGATAGTGGAACAAGGAGCAATGGTCTCCAGTTGCAGTGGGAGAGGTCTAGGTTGGATAGTAGGAGAAATGATTTCCCTAGGTGGGTGGGGAAGCACTGGACTGGATTCCCTAGGGAGGGGGTGGAATCTCCATCCCTAGAAGTGTTTGACCAAGCCCTGGCTGGGATGATTGAGTTGGGTTGGTCCTGCTTTGGGCAGGGGGCTGGACTCGGTGACTCCTGCGGTCTCTGCCAGCCCTGGGATTCTATGATCTCCACTTCTCCAGCCCAGCTAGTGGTTCTAAAGGGGGCCTCCCCTTTTAACTATGGGGATGTGGAAAAGTGTACACTGAGGGGTGTTCAGATAAGTGGCACTTGTTTCCAGCGGAGCCATTTGGCTTCCCCAAGGCTCCGTGTGTTCCCTCCTCCCAGTCTCTTAAGGGCATGAAATGGGAGTGGTGGGCAGAGTAGCCCAGCCCCTCGTTATTTTGCCCACTGATTAGGGCTTGTGTCTGACTCATGGATCTTGGTTCTTCAGTTTTCAGACCCAGATTTTCTTGTCTACCAGGCATGAGACCAGCGCAATGCTTGGGTAACATCTGGAGGCCTTTGTGGTTTGGACTCATCCATCCTCTGTCTCATTTTCCTGCAGCTGTTTATAACATCTGTTAGTGACAATAACTTTCCCAGCAACATTACAGCTCCTGGTGACATCTGAGGCACCTACACGTGCTTCTTACAGTTACCTCACAATTAGGGGACATGGGTAGGCCCATTCACCACAGCTGAGTACCCGCTCAAGACAGTGTCATTCATGATCTCGCCCGGCCCTACCCTATGGTCACTCCTGCCACGCCTACTTTGTGTTCCCTTGTTTATATAGCCAAGGATCCTGTTAGCACCAGTTCCCCTTGGCACCCACTTAGCACCACGGCTTGCCAGGACACAATCCCCCAGCCATAAAGTGTGCCCTACAGTCTGTTTCCGACTGTGCGCGTTTTGTCTTTGGCTAAATTCAGTGATGTTGTTTAATTGCACCCAGGTAACAAGCGATCAGACTGGCCCGTCTCAATGACCATCCTAGTCATTATTTACCAGTCCACCAATCTCTGTGTCATCTCCAACCCTGTTTTATTTCCAGATTGTTGATAAAGACAGTGAATAGCCTTGGGCCAAGAACAGGTCCTGGTGGGATGTCACTAGACTAGAACATCCCTACTTACCGATGAGTCCTCATTAACAATGTCAGCAAAGGTTCTCTGACTGACTCCTTTGCTGTGCCTGCAGAGTCCAGATCTGTGCTCCGACCCCTGGGCTTTGAATCCAGTCTGGGAAAACTTCCCTGGTCTTCCATGGTTAAATAGCTACCCTTAAGAACTCGGGAGACAAATCACTTCTTCTGGTCTGGGATCCTCTTTGTTTATAGCCGTTTCGCAGCAGGAAAGAGAACTAATTTGACTGTTTTGCACCTTATATTTATTCCTGCTTCAAAGGGATCTTGTCTCTTGAAAATGGGGCCTAAACTGGGGTCCCAGTTCCACACCGAGTATCTCCTCTGACTTGAGTTCAAAAAGAACTTAGCTACCTTTATGAGGGACAGGACCATCTATGGCTATCAGCCAGGCTGGGCAGGATCGTGTCCCTAGCCTCTGTCAGAAGGGCTGTGTTTAGACTGGCCAGTTTTTCCGGAAAATCAGCCGCTTTTCCAGAAAAACTTGCCAGCTGTCTACACTGGCCGCTTGAATTTCCCCAAAAGCACTGACGATCTCATGTATGATCGTCAGTGTTTTTGCAGAAATACTATGCTGCTCCCGTTCGGGCAAAAGTCCCTTTTGCGCAAAACTTTTGCACAAAAGGGCCAGTGTAGACAGCTCAGATTTGTTTTCTGCAAAAAACCTCCGATCACGAAAATGGCGATCGGGGCTTTTTTGCGGAAAAGCACGTCTACATTGGCATGGACGTTTTTCCGCAAAAGCGCATCGTTATACTGCGAACTCCGTGCCAATCTAAACGCTCTTTTCCAAAAATGCTTTTAATGGAAAACTTTTCTGTTAAAAGCATTTCCAGAAAATCATGCCAGTCTAGACGTAGCCGGAGGAAGATTCTAAGAGGCAGCTGGCCAGGCAGGAGCAACAGGTAGTTAATGTGACCTGGCTAAAACATGCTTTCAGTTTACATACATGAATAAGAACGGCCCTACAGGGGCAGACCAAAGGCCAGTCTAGCCCAGGGTATGTCTACACTACCCCGCTAGTTCGAACTAGCAGGGGTAATGTAGTCATCTGCAGTTGCAAATGAAGCCCGGGATTTGAATTTCCCGGGCTTCATTTGCATGAAGCCGGCCGGCGCCATTTTTAAATGCCGGCTAGTTCGAACCCCGTGCCACGCGGCTACACGTGGCACGGAGTAGCTAGTTCGGATTAGGCTTCCACGTTCCACGAGGAGTACAGCCAATTCGTATTAGAAGCCTAATCCGAACTAGCTACTCCGTGCCGCGTGTAGCCGCGCGGCACGGGGTTCGAACTAGCCGGCATTTAAAAATGGCGCCGGCAGATGACTACATTACCCCTGCTAGTTCGAACTAGCGGGGTAGTGTAGACATACCCTGGGCTAGACTGGCCTTTGGTCTGCCCCTGTAGGGCCGTTCTTATTCATGTATGTAAACTGAAAGCATGTTTTAGCCAGGTCACATTAACTACCTGTTGCTCCTGCCTGGCCAGCTGCCTCTTAGAATCTTCCTCCTTGTTTTTAAGTAGCATGGGGACAGTTTTAGCCCTTTATTGGAAAGTCCTTTCCTGCCGCGTATTACGTGTGGGATGGTGGGTCTGCATCCCAACTTGCACCGAAATCCCAAAGGCTGTTGAAACCCCTGTTGTTATTTTGGGTCACGTTTGTCCATAGCCCAAGAGTCCAATTTGCTGTTACCAATGGAACTTATTAGTTAGAGAGGATAAGAACAGACTATTAAAGGGCTCAGAGAGCTTTTCAAAGCCAATGAGTGTGTTAAACTGTAATGCTGACAGTGGGAGAACGCCTGGAAAGGCCTCCGGAGGCTGATTCCTGGGTTCTTGTTGTGTGTCCCCAGGTCTGTGCACCTTAACAGCTGTTTCATGGTATGCCACGCAGGTGACCTACGAGTTCTTCAACCCCAGCACTCCAGTCAATGCCCGGTAAGATCTTCTCCATAAATCGGCAGTTCGGGGGGAAGCTGTTTTCCTGGGGTTGTAGCTCATTGGTGGCATTGTGACAAAAGTGCTCAGCCCTGGGCATGGTTCTCAGAACCTGGTGCCCCTTTGCCTCAGCCCCACTGCCCCTGGGCCTCCTGAGACACAAGTAAAGAAGTGGTATGCACAGTCCTACCCCCTGCACGGCCCTGTCTGCTCCCGCCATGGCTCACATGACCCTTCTCGCTCCTCTGGGCGCCTGCCCCTGTGTTCATGCCACAGCAGGGCCCGTAGGCCCCCATACGTCCTCCAGGAGACTCCATCACTTTGTCAAACTAGCTGGCAGCAGCCCCCTGCCGGTGTCAATGCCCCAGTTCTCCCTTGGCCAGCCTGCTTCCCAAGTCCTTTTTCCTGTGCCATCAGCACAGGGCCCGTCCCATCTGGGGAGCCAGACAGCGGGGCCCAGGCGGGTCACCGCCCCCTCAGAAGTGCTTGGCATTTGCCATGTATGAAGATTGTGAATAAGCCCGGCCTCCTCCCCCAACCCCAGCCATTCTGGAGAGCTGTCCACCCTGTGGTCCGGCCGCACGCTGGCTCTGGGACCCGTCTGGCCTGGCTTCCTCCAGAACGCCCACTACTCCAGCAGCCTGAGGGGGTGAACGCGAGTCTCCCGAGAGGCAGGGGCCATGTGCCACATCTGTGCCTACGTGGGCCCCGGGTGATGTGTCGGTGAATGGCCCCTCCATGTGCTCCCGTGTCTCCACCAGCTCTTTTCTCTCTTGCTCTAGGTATGAATTTGGTTCCGCCCTGTTTGTCGGCTGGGCGTCTGCCAGCCTGATGATGTTGGGAGGGTCCTTCCTGTGCTGCTCTTGCCCCACCGAGGAGAGGCAAGGACAGCAGTACTACAGGCAGTCGCAGCCTTCGACAGCTAGGGAGTACGTCTGAGCCCTGGCCTCCCACCCGCCGCCCAACGCTTCCCTTCCTGCTCCAGCACCTGCTAGAGACCGGGGTGTTCCCGAGAGACACTGGGTCCTTTGCCGGTGCTGCCCCTGCAGCCTTGGGGGAGGGCCCTTCCCATGAAACTCTGACTCCTGTAAAACACACACGTCTCAGGGGTGTCTCAGATAGCCTGAGGGCAGCTACACTCGCGGCACAAGCATCTAAAATGTGTTTCTCCACATAGCTCTTGCGTCAGCCGTTGCCAGGTTCTTCTCCTTCTAGTTCAGTCTGTGCTGGTCTCACGGCCAGGTGTATCCCCATGCCAGCTTTGCTTGGCCTCAGCCATGCCGGCCAGCCCACCAGTGAGAACACAGGACTGGCCAGACTGGGGCCCAGCCAGGCCAGCACCCTGTGTGTGACAGAGGCAAGTCCCAGAATGGCCAGAACCCACTGGGAATGGGTTTTCCTCATTCCTGCCAGATACGGGTTGATTCCTCCTATATACAAATGCAGCTGTTACCTAGCTACGTGTTCAAAAACCGTAACTCGTTCTCCTGCTCCTTGGTATCTTGGGGCGTTGAGTCCCACAGGTTGGTTTCGTGTTGTGTAACATTGAGTCTCTCTGCTTCGTTTACATTTTATTGTATTTTAACTTCCCTGGGTCTCCCCTGCCCCTTGTGGGTCAGAGAGGCCAAACGGGAGGGTCTGGCTGAGGTTCTTGGGCCAGTCATCGCTCAAGATACTTTTACCAGGTCACCTCTTTTACCTCCTAGGCCTTCCAGGCCTCTGAAGGTTTTGTTGCTCTTCTCTGGCCTTTTTCCTTCTCTCCTCCCTCCTCGGGATGGCCCGGCTGGACCTGACGGCAGCATTTCTGGAGAGTTTGCCACCGATTTACATCGCGGCATTCACAGCAGTGTCCACAATGCAAAGGTTGCACCTTTACACACCCTGTTCACAGGCAGCTAGAGGACGTTTCTGAAGCTTCCGTCTCTCAGACTGAAATTCGGCAGCGTTTGGTGCCGTCTGAGCACTTAGGAAAAATCCCGGCAAAACTTATTTTTTCGAGTCTCAGAGCTGAGCGGCCTGTGGAGGGGCAGCTGAAGTTTGGCCGGGGTCAGCCCAGAGAGAGGAGTAGCCGGCCTGGGGAGGGAGAGAAAAGGGTTTGATTTGGCTGAGTTCTGAGCACTCAAAAATGGGGTTTTGAATTGGTACAATCCTTCCTCCCTTTTTTTGCTCCGTACATATCCCAGGGAGGGTGGGACCCGCTGAGCGCCGAGTCAGACTTTCAAAGGGGGTTTATACTCACCAGCTCCCCCGGAACAATGGAGGGTCCTGTCCCTCCACAGGAGAACACTGGATCACTTCTCAAATCTGGCTCTAACGCTTTTGATCCAGTGCCTGTTCCAAGCCAACCAGGGAATTTCATGCTGTTCCAGAAACCCAGGGCCTGGCATAGCTAGCTCAGGAGGCACGAGGTGAGCAGAGCCACGTGACCGAGCTTAGGAGCTGGCAAAGCAAAGTGGCTGGAGAGTCTCCTTTGCACTTTGGTAACTGGCTTTGGAGCCGCAAATGGAAAAGGCGTCTGACTAGGGGAGCACCTGAGGGCTGATAGCACAGCAGGGGCTCTGCCCTAGCACAGGTGAGGAACTCAGCGGAGCAGGTACCTTCCCCTCCTGCCAAAGCCCCAGTGGTCCCGGTAGATCTTCAGGCAGGACATCTGGGCACATCCAGGCTACACGAGGAGCATCAGAAAGAATATAGAGCAGGTGTTCTCAGCAGCTGGCAGCTCTTGGTCAAGCCAACTGGATTCTGGTGGTTGTAGACAAGGATGTTAAATATCCGTTAATTGAATAGTCGAGTGACCTCGTGAATTCTTATTGCTTAGTTGACTATTCTATAGTCCTCAGGGGCGGGGCCAGCAGCTGCTGTATCAGAGGCAGCAGTGCAGGGTTTCAGACCAGAGCTCCCCTCGTGGACTGGATGCCTGTCACCCTGTGCTGCTGCCTCTGATAAAAAGGCAGCAGCATGGGGTGGCAGCAGCCCCTGTCTAAGGCGGGTCTGAGCTCCTGGATCCGGCATGAGCTGGAAGTGAGCTGGGCTGCCTGCCTGCCTGGCTCCTAATACACTTGAAATGCAGAGCCGCAGCGGGAGCAGGTTCTGGACCCAGTGTGAGCTAGAACTGAGCCGGGCTGCTGGCAAACCTGCAAACAAGTGTACCGGCAAAGGTGGTGGGGAGGAAATGTGTGTAGCCTGTCGCATTAACTTATAAGCTTTGGTTAATCGACTATACTATTACATCCCTAGTTGTAGAGAAGAATGTCAGTATTCCGAGGGCACCCAGCCAAACAGCTCAAGGGTATAGGATAAGCACAAGTTTCTTACGGGTGTTTTGGTAGTTGCAATGTTAAAGTCCTGGAGTTGGACCCGCATTAGGAGACTGTCACTAAGTTTGCACAATTGAGCACTTAAGTGAGGAAGTGCCTGTGCACTTAACCTTAACCTTAACTCTGCCCCCTTATGCATGTACATTCATACAGGTGTTAACCATGTCAAGTACTATTAAGCAACTACTGTATCATAGCCTATCTTTTCTAACCCCCTAGATATACATGTAGCCTCTTATACTACTATGTACTAAAGTCTCTGCATATGTGACACTCCCCTATATTAGCTGTTGTATATTGTCTAACAACAGAATAATATTGAAAATGTCCTAAAGTAGATGAATGCTTAGGGTTAGATTACACCACTGACTTTTTCAATGACGGTCAGTGGTGTTAATGCATACAATAGTTTACACAGTAACATACGCAGCCCTTGGAAACACACATACCTTTCTGCCAGCCTTCAGCAAACTGAGTGTTACACTTTTCTGCCTAGTTAGAAATATATCGATAGCTTTCAAAATGGTCACATGCAAGTGTCAGTTCTCTACTGATCCCTCCTCCCCACAGAAACAGCAGAACAATATTTCTTTTTAAAAAGTGCATCTAATACTCTGGAAAAGTAACACAAGGTCTGTGAGGCCAGGTCACCTGAGAAATGCAAAAGTTGCTCCATTAAATAGACACCAAACAGCTTGAGAGGTCCGGATGTAGGGCCCCGTTCTGGAATCTGGAATCTCTCGGGTAGAATGTGCTCTTGAGATAATGCCATTGAAAGCAATGGGGGTCGGGTGACTCGTGGGATTTACCAAGGTGCCTACATGCATCTTGATGTGTCTAAATACCTTTAAACATCTGGCCTATGGCCAGAGCCTCCCTGTGCTAGGGGAGCCAACCGGCTCCCATGGAATGTTTTGATTTATTTACCTCCCGCCCCCCATGCCTACTTTGCATTTTGAAAGTGATGCTTTTGACAGGATCCCAGGGTGCAGCTGGGACTGTGGGGCCACTCTGCCCCTTTCACCCCCAGCCGGGGCTGCTTCTCTCACTGCTTTGCTAGTGACAAGCAGCAACCCCCTCCGGGGGCCGTGATCACTCAGCACAATTGCATGTAGAGCCCCACCTCCGCTAGACTGCAGGAACGCTCCCTGCATCACTTGTGAATCACTCAGGCTGTGTCCAGACTGCAGGCTTCTTTCGGAAGAAACTTTTTTCAGGAGAGATCTTCTGAAAAAACGTCTTCCGACAGAGAGCGTCCACACTGCCAAAGCGCATTGAAAAAGAGACCTGCGTTTTCAAAAGAGAGCACACACAGTGAATGGACACTATCTCGCATGTAATCTGTGAGGGTCTGTCTACACGAGCCCCCTAGTTCGAACTAGGGAGGCTAACGTAGGCATTCGAAGTTGCAAATGAAGCCTGGGATTTAAATATTCTGGGCTTCATTTGTATCTTCCCGTCCGGTCGCCATTTTGAAATTTCACTAGTCCAGACTAACTGCCCGCGGCTACACGTGGCAGAGACCCGATAGTTCGAATTAAAGCCCTAATTCGAACTACCTGTTATTCCTCCTGCAAGGAGGTTTCAAGTGACTGTTATAACATCAGTCTTATGAGCTTTTAGAAGTAGCATGAAATTCTTATTGTCTCTGGGTTGCAGCCAGTTTTTAGTCCACAGGAGAGATTTTTTTTTACATCTATGCCAAATCCAAATTCACTTTTCAAGCTAAATGTTGCCAAACTCTCAGGTGTTTTAGGGAGACCTGAGTGCACTGAAGATCAGAAGGGAACATAGCAGGATGATCTTTCTGCCCTATTTGCTATTTGTTTTTTTTTTCTACATAACTCTGCACTAATGGCCTCTCTCTCTTTTGAATTTCAGACCCAATGTAAAAATGTCTTCTTCACCCATCAGGGGAGAGCAGTGTTTATAGTCTATCGTCACCCATCTGGGGAGAACAGCTTATTATGTTTCCTTCAAAAAAGTCTAAAAAAATTAAGTGAAATAAGTATAGTAAGGATTTGACGAGAAAGCTGTGATACATTTTCTGCAAGGTCTTTTGTTACAAAGAGTACAGAACTGTGTATATGAACATTTTTATTCTTTTAATTTAAAACTGACCATTTAACTTTTCTATGGTCCAAAATGTACTTAAGGGGAATTATACTGTTTGGAATTTCAAATGTCTTTTGATTGTTTATACTAAAAATCACAACTCGGAGGTTATTAAAATAGTTGTGTTCTTTGCCATCTTTCTAACTGCTGGTCTCTCTTTTACTCTTTAACACTGACAGCTCCTTTTATGCAGCCCTCCAGAAAATTCTTGTAACCAGGCTCTGACCCTCTCTGTACCAGGCGGGATGATAGGAGTTACTATAGAGAACTTTCTGGGTGTCTGGCTGGTGAGTCTTGCCCACATGCTCAGGGTTCAGCTGATCGCCATATTTGAGATTGGGAAGGAATTTTCCTCCAGAGTAGATTGGCCGAGGCTCTGGAGGTTTTTCGCCTTCCTCTGTAGCATGGGGCATGAATCACTTGTTGGAGGATTCTCTGCATCTTGGGGTCTTCGAACCATCATTTGAGTGTTTCTAGTCTATCGTCACATTTTCAAAAGTGACTCACCCACTGGAAGCCCAAGGGCCTTTTAAAATGAGGGGTCGGTGCCCATGTGTAGCAGCAGGCACCACACAAACAGTGCGCATAAGGCTAGTGTCTGAGACATCCCCCAGCCTGGCTTTTGCTAACCTGCCATATAGATAAGCCCTGAGCCTCACTGAAAGTCAGCGGAGGTCCGGGCCTAAGCGAGGTAGCTTGTCACTAAGAAATCCAGGGGACAGAGGAGTACGGGTGTGTGTGTGTGTGTGTGTGTGTCACCCCTCCCCATGTGGGGAGGCATGGGAAGTCTGTTATCCTTCCCCATGAGGGGAGGCATCCCCCCATGTCTGTCACCCCTTTCCATGAGGGGAAGTATGGGGGGGGGTCTGTTACCCCTCCCCATGAGCCTTAAAAATCAGAAGATAAATGAAAAGATCCCGAGTGCGCAGTGTTTCTTTTTAACGGGCTCAGTCGGCTCGGTGTGGATTTGAACCTTTGTACGAGTGATTGCCTTTGGACTCACGTGAGTTTAGGGGAATATGGTCTCCCCAGGTTTGGGGAAGGAGCAGGCCCAGAGGACCAATGTAGGCTGAGCTGGTTGATTTGGCAAGGCCGGGGAGGACGGAGTGGTTTGGGGCAATTTGCCCACGTGGGAACCCTTTGGGGTAAAGGAAGGCAGCCTGGGAAGAAGTTTGGGCTTATAGTGGGAGGCAGAGAGAAGTGCAGGTATCCGGGAAGGGTGGAAGACGCAGAGAGGACGGGGACAAAGGCACCCCCAGGCGGGGCAGACATGTCCATGGTGGAGGAGGAAGAGATCCAGGACTCTGGACTTGTGCAGGCAAGAGAGGGGGCCCGGCAGAGCAATGAGCCGCTGGGAGCTGTATGGGGAAAGAAGGAAAGGGGAGCGAGCACCGGTGGGAGGCGGGAAGGCAGAGAAGATCTGTGGTGGGAGCAGAGGCCTGTAGCTAGCCAGGCCCTGGCTTCAGGATCCTGACACTACGTCTCCTCTCCGCTCACTGACTTGACACCGACCCTCAGCTCAGCCCAGACTCCTTCTTCCTGGGACTTTGTTCCCTTCGCTGGCCTCTCTGGCCAGAATGTTCATTCCCTGGTTACTTACGTTTTTCAGCCTTGTGGCTAAACGAAGCCTTAATTAACAGAGGCTGCCAGGGCAGTGGCCTGTAAGCTGTGGGGCATAAAAACATCTGTTCAGTCAGTTCACAGTTTAGATTGTGCCTAATTGGGTGTGATGCTTTGGGCTTCGCTAATTTAAACGGACTTTTCCCGTGCGCTGGGCCATAGGTTCAGCCGCCCAGCAAGCCCCGCCCTATCAGCTGTGCCGGGAGGCTGCAATGCTGGTTAGGAGGCAGTGTTGCCTGTCTTGATGGTCGCTGGCCACGTCACTAACCAATCATCTGCCACCTGCGCTTCTGCATGCAGGACAATAAGCCCTGGTCTACATGAGGGCGTTATTTCGTAATAACAAGCGGAGCGTCCATACTACCAAGCCCGTTGTTTCGAAATACGGGCTGGTTGCTTAGGAATAATTCCTGCTTCCCACGAGGGATAACGCTGATTTCAAAATGGTTATTTCAAAATAGCAGAAGTGTGGATGCGCCACGGCTGCTATTTTGAAATAACGACTCCCCAAAGTAATTCAAAGTAATTACTCCCCAGTGCCTCCTGGGGCTGTAAGTCGACGTAGCGTGTCCACATTAAGGGGGCCTGCCTCGGACTAATTTTGAGGCTTCCCCGTAGTGTGGACGTGCTATTTTCAAACCGTTATTTTGGGAGTGATTATTTCAAAATAATTTCCTAGTGTAGACATGCCCTAAGCATCAGGTTTTCAAGTGCTTAGCTCCCTATGTCAGTTATGGGCAGTATCAGTCCAATTCTGGCCCCCCTGTTACAGAAAGAATGTGGACACAGTGGAGAGAATCCAGCAGAGGGCAATACAAATGATGAGGGGGCTGGAGCACATGACTGATGGGGAGAGGCTGAGGGATTTTGGACTTGTTTAGTCTATGGAAGAGCGAGGGGGGATTTGAGAGCAGCCTTCAATTACCTGAAGGGGGCTCCAAAGAGGATGGAGAGAGGCTGTTCTCAGTGGGGGGGAGCAGTGGTCTCACGTTACAGTGGGGGAGGTCTAGATTGGGTATTAGAAAAAATGATTTCCTTAGGAGGGTGGGGAAGTGCTGGGCTGGGTTCCCTAGTAGAATCTCCATCCTAGAGGTTTTTAAGTCCTGGCTTGACCAAGCCCTGGCTGGGATGATTGAGTTGGGGTGGGTCCTGCTTTGGGCAGGGGGCTGGACTCGATGACTCCTGAGGTCTCTGCCAGCCCTGGGATTCTGCGATGTGGAGAGAGCACGTGTCATGCTGCCTGGAGCATGGACTGTGAGCGCCAGCCCCAAGGCAGACACCCAGATGGGTGCTATGTTTTATTTCACCAACCCGGTAACAAATGTGAACTCCCAAAGTACTTCGATAATCGTATTGTGGGGTCACAGGCACACCTCTGTCTCATCAGCCAGGCAAGCTGGATTTTGAGATAACGGCTCATTTTTACACTAAAGATCACAAAATAGGTTGTGACCAGTCACTTCCTCCAGATTAATTTGTACCTTAGATCTCACACCGGAGACAATGCCTGCAGGCAATCCTATAGTAAACTAACCATGAATTTATAAACTAGGGAAAAGTAAGGGAAAGTTATTCACAGGTTAAAGCAGGCATGAGTGAGTTACAGTCTATGGTTCCAAAAGGTGACAGAGCTGTAGTGATCTCCCAGCACCGAATGCCATTCATGGCTATGCCAGTGAGACCCTGGGGGGGTCTCTGCTTTTGTCTCTTAGCTCCAGCCCTTCTGCGAGTCCAGACTGCTGTTCCATAACACTAGTCATTTTTGTTGCCCATCCCTGTATTTGTTTAGTGCAATATTTCTTTTTTGAGATGAGAAGAGCACATCTGCACACAGTATTCAAGATGCAGGTGTGCCATGGATTTCTATAGGGATAATATGATATTTTCCATCTTAGTATCTATCCATTGGCTCCCTTTTCTACTCCACGTGTTTTTTCACCTCTCTCAGGAATACGATGGTGATAACGTCCTTCTTTCCAAACACAATAGTAAAATTAGGGTTGATTTTAAATGAGAGTGGGTTAGTGGGAGAATTAAAGGTTTAGCGGGGCAGCCAGGGGGGAGCACTTCTCGGCGGTACAGTTGGGGGGCAGCGGGGTGCACAGCTGCACTAACCACCATTCACTTTCTGGCTGTAATGGAATGTGAGCGGTGGTGCCGGCGGCCTGGTGGGTTCTGGCCAACCGCGTGGCAGTAAGCGGCTGCCTCCTTTGCGCAGGCTGGAGCTGGGGCACGCACGGTGAGACAAGCAGTCCCTACTGGCCTGGGGCAGCCTCACCAGCTCCGGTTCCAGCTCCGGCAATGGAATGTGGCAGTGGGCGGCTGTCCCCTTTGCTCTGGTTGGGGCCGTGTTACCGGCTCCGGTTCCAGCTCCGGCAGGGGGGTCATCACTTACACTTCAATGAGGACATCACTCGAACTCAAATGCGCGGTGGTTTGAGTTGCCCTGTATTCTTTGTCTTAATTAACAAACTGGTTCTATTAAAATGGCTGAATTTCTTAAATTATTATGTCAAACTCAGTAGGCTCTCTCGTTTGGGTTAGTTTTAATTGGACAGATTGCCTGCCTTTACATTTTTTAAAAATCATACTTAATGTTGCACTTTTAATGCAACATTTTCAAATGGTCAAAAGTTACAATCAAAGCTGTAAAACAAATTGTATCTTTTCTGAATATACTTCTAACTCATAATCTACTGACTCTTCACAACATGAGGAAGACATAGCATAGAGCAAGGCAGCCATAACTGATGTCAGGGCTGCCTGAGATACAATAGCTGAAGAAATCAGAATGCCAACCATCAAGCATGTAATTCACAAATTCAAAAGCCCCAAAAGGACTATTAGATTAGTGACGCTCAACCTTTCCAGACTGCTGGACCCCCCTTTTAGGAGGTTGGTTTAGCTTGTGTACCCCCATGTTTAAAAACGACTTCCTTACAAAATCAGTGATAATCACTGAAACACATGACTCAGCGATGCAAACTCAATCCCCAGCACAAAAATCGATGAATGAATATGTGTATGTGTATGTGTGTGTGAGAGAGAGAGAGAGAGCGAGAAGGAGAGAGAGGGAGAGAGAAGGAGAGAGAGCGAGGGAGAGAGGCATTTCTGGGGGTGTGTATGGAGGCAGGTAGATGTATGAGAGCAGTAAACAAACACACGTATCAAACAGTGCACTGCTCAGGAGAGCAATAGCTGGAGTAGCTCCCTCTATTCATAATTATAGCTTCTTTGATGTTGAAAGTAAGGAAGTAAAGTTGAAAGTAAACTGTTTTCAGTTATAGGATTTTTGAGTCACATTATCAGGAAATTTAAGATAATCGACACGTCTGACTGAACAGATTTATAAGTCCCATTGTTTGTCAGACAAGTAGTTTCCTTCGTGGCTACTGAAAATTTTGCAGCATTAACTTTATTTATTTGTTTTCATATTATTTAAAGTTATTTAAAGCTGTTAATTATCCCGTGCTTTAGTATTCTTTCTTCCATAACGTTTACAACTATA